ATGCCGCGGCAATGCACCCGCTGCAGCAAATGCTACAGCTGCCACGCCCATCGCCGTCCTCGCTCACCCTCCAGCTAAATGAAAAGTTTTGCTCACGCAACAGTCGATCTCAATCTGTGTCTGTGTGTGTGTGTGTGCGTGGCAAAAATCTGCTTTTGTTGGTATTGTTTTTTGGTTGCAAATTTATTGGCACATTTGCCACGCGCAGCACTTTTATCTCTCATTTTTATCTGGGCGGGTCTCTTTATTTATCTGCCACGTTAAATTTACTTTTCGCATCTGAAATGCTGTTTGCAATTTCTCTAGCTGCCACTGCTGCTGCTTTTCATAATTTTTCGCCTCGAGGCCAAATTGTCGTCTTTATTTGCAGCATGGAAATGCTTGCAGTTCCTTCTTCATTCTCATTTTTTCTTTTTCTTATTTTCTTTTCTAGAAACCATTTCACATTTCCATTTCAATGCACATCAGCAGCACCAACAGCAGCCGGAGCAGCAACAGCAGCAGCAGCAGCAGCAGTCGCAGCTAAACGTGGCAAACGTTTTGAGATTTCCAATTGCTCGCCCTTTTGCCATGACATTTGCGATTTTCCGCACATTTTGTATTTTATTGAACTGTTTGTCACAGCCAGCGCAAGTGCTTTAAGCCAGAGCCACGAACCACACGAACCACACAAACTACGAACCTCGAATACCATTCGTTCATATGTTATCATATAAGCATGTCAACTTTATGAAAATCAAATGGAAATAAAAACGGACACAGCGCTCATAAACAATCATATGGCAAGTAAGCTTTCAGGCTAACCATAACGAGGGAGCTCTAAGGAAATCATTATCAAGTCGGAATACCCTAACCGTTATATACATATATACATAACTATACCTAGAGTACTCATATGTTAGATTGGTAACATTTCGAGGTTAAAATATGAGATCGATTGAGACATAGGAAAATATATTCAATTATTCCGAGAGGATTAATAAGGTAAAATATAGGTAGCAAAATATGATATTGAAGGAGAAAATATTCCACTAATAATACACAAATATTCCGAGAGGATTCATATGGTAGACTACTAAAATTTAGGTAGTAAAACATGAGATCTATTGAGACATAGGAAAATAGATTCAACTAGTAACATATAAAACTAGTTTTCTTGAATATCTCTATAAATATGTGTGACTATCTGAAGCGTTTTTATTAAATGTTGTGGATTAATATTCATTTATTACGTAGTGAAACTCATTTTCTTGAATATCTCTATATATATTTTTTATCTGAAGAGTTTATATGTTCTCAAAGTGGATAAATGTTGGTTAAGATTATCATTTATCAACTTCTTATACAAATATTTTATTAAGTAAAGTTAGTTTGTACAAAAACTAAAGAATTCAGAGTTTGAGCCGACTTTTTACTATAATATTACATATAAATGTTAAAAGATATCTCTATATAAATATAACACAGTTGATGACCAAATTATAATGCCCTCAAACAAGGCGCATAGCCAGCATCAAAAGTTCAAAGTGCTGGGTGGGCGTGTCAGCTGCTTAGCCAAGAAGCCAACATGGCTAACAGTGCGACTTCATAAAAAAAAAACAGTAGAAGAGGAAAGAACAAACACACAAAAATGTATGAAATACTTTTACGACTTTCGAAGACAGTTTTACAGCTTCAGCTCGCTCGCAAGTTTTCTGCTAACGATATGCGATATGCACGGCAGAAGCCGGATGAGGAGTAACTGCAACAGTAGCTGGGAGTTGGGAGTTGGAAGCTAGAAGCTGTAGCCGCATTCCAGAGCTAAACGACCGTCCAGTTGTGTCCGAGCTTGAATGCATGTCGCATCATAAAACCGAAAGTCATTTCGCACAGAACGTGCCTCCAAAGAAGCCAAACTCATTGCAGCCAATAATAATTCCAATTGTAGTGCAGTGACAATTTCTTTTTTCACTCTCTCTATATATATAGGTATATACATATACATACATCTATTCTTGCATGCTCGTTTAGAGAGAGCATATTGGTTTTTGAGTAGTTTGAATAAAATATATATTTATATTCATAAGATATTTTGGATATATCCAAATGCTGGGTAAAAATGTCATATACTAAAGTTAATAATTGAGAATTGAGTTAGTCTCACTCTCTTCTATATGTAATACAATATTTTAATAGAAAAACTCTACTGAGAGACGGTAGAGATTGGATAGATTATATCAATAAGAACTTTGAGATTTCATCAAGTGGATACATTTCTATATATCTCAACAGATAAACCCTATATATGCATCACATTATATTGGATATTTAATTATCTAACTACTTCACAGCTTGAGCAAGTACGATGCAGTTGGTTATGCTCGATTACAGTACTCCTACTTGTTGTCTTCAACAACTTTGGCGACCAGGATGCGCTCGCTTTCTAGGGTACAATGTACCCAACAATGGTCAGCAGCAGCATCAACAGCTTCAGCAGCAGCAGCAGCTTTTATTGCCCAGCGCTTGGGATTTTAAGTGCAGCGGCAGCAGCGTACCAAAAACATTATTTGGTCAATGTAGACGACATGACGCGGCCATTAAACGCAACAAATAAGCAAACAATGGCCAAAACTTGCAGCGGACAGCAGCAGGAGTTGAGGATTCATCTTGGCTCCACGACTCAAGACCAAAAATTAGTAAAGTGCTTAAGCGACAGCGGGAGACAGAAAATAACTTAAGAGTCCAAAAGTTTATGCCGGCTGACGACCAAAGCTGATGCTTGATATTTAAAGCAAGGAAACAACACACATGTCATCATGATCTCAAGTAAGTGCATTACTTTTTGCAAGCACTGTTTATGGGAGTGCAAGCAGCTAAATGCACTGCTTGCGGCACTGCTTGCTGTGAACAGAGTAGCATGTATCATCAGTTTATCGATCGAGTATTTGGATTTCAGCTTGTCATACCTTATGAACTGTAGACGAGAGACATTTGGAATAATTCACAACTTTTCCTATAAAAAGAAAGGCATAAATCTTCTTTCCAATAGGCTTTGGTGTTTGCAATGAAGTTCATGGCTTTCTAAGAGCAGTATTCTGCCTCTTCTTTCTTTCAAACTAAACTTGATCCAAATCCTGGAAATCTCTTAGTCAATAATCTCTGCCTCTTCTTTCTTTCTAGCTAAACTTGCTCCAAATTAGGCGATTCACAAATTATAAATTGCATTATGATTATTCTAACTGTCAAGCAAATGTTTATTATGTCAATTATGGCGCTTGGCCAAAACACAAAAGAACCTGAACTGCGAACTACGAACCCGGATGCCCTTTGTGCCCTCTGCTAAATGACCATTCACATCTAATGATGCTCATGGCAGATAAATTATATATAATTTAAGAAAATGATTATTGTAGTCCATTCAGTTTAACGACATTTAAATTAGCGAAGCTTCAGTAAGAAATTCAGTTAGTAATATGAACAAGAAGGGAAATTTAACAAACTCATATATATATATATACTAACTTGAATCAATTAAATGCAGATAACATTATTAATAACTTAAAATAAATTATTATTTAATTAGTCAGTAAATTAGCTATTTTCTGCAAAACTCTATTCGAATCTAATTTATTTTAATTACTTTTTAATTGCATTTGAATGTGGAATTATTTGAATGAATTTCTTATTATTTCACTCTATGATTGTCGACTGATTAGATAGACTTGACTAATTAGCTTCAATAATATTTGTAAACTAATAAACTAATTTTGATGACAGAATAACCAAATAGAAAAAAAATCTATATATATAAAGTTAAGCTGCGAAACTTTTTTCGCCGCTGAAGCAGAAACCGCCTAGAGACACAGCCAGAGCTGTCCGTAACAATTTATTTATTTAGTTGTTGCAAAAAGCTAATTAGCAACTAAAGTGAAATTAAAGCAAAGCCAGGCAACGACAATGGACTTATGCAGCAGCAGGAGCAGCAGGAGCAGCAGCCGGACACACAGCAGCAAACGGACGAGTTGGCGTTAATGTCGGAGTTGGAGCTGAAGCTGGCTAACGGTGTGCTACAACTAATTAAATGCAATAAGCAAACTGGCAGCAGGACACGGCAGGATATGGCAGGACACGGGCGTGACAGAAAGTGATGGAAGAACTAAACCAACTAACTAACGATGATTGAATACTCTTGCTGGCATGGAAAGGACTTTATATATGAAGTTTCGTTGTATATCTGTGATATATTATAGGTATTATAAGAGAATCTTCACCTGTGATATGAAAAGCTACAGGTATTATAAGAAAATTTGCTGTGTGTGTTCTGTTTTATGAGAATAAAGGATTCTATTGCTATTTTTCCATATAAGATTTTAAAGAAATATGATTTAATAGTCTGATGTCTATAATAGACTCGACTATATCCGGTAATTGTGCGGTAAAAGCGATGCTTTCTCAATACATCATTACATGTTCTTAGAACTTACAAAGAGTGGAAGGAATTTTATAAAAATATTAAATCTATTTTCGACACTCTTGAGAACTCTGCGCAATTTTTCAAATGATTCTAGCTTTAGAAGTGTTGGAAATCGTTACAGAGTCAATAATCTAGTTGATAATAATAATAAAGAAAAGCTGAGCTACTGAAATATTAAGGGAATACCTCTACACTTTTGATTATTTTGTATAAATATATCAAGATTCATTAGATAACTTCATATGGTTAAACATCACTCAATTCAAAGTCAGCAACAGCACTCGTAGCACCCTTTGCTAGAGTATACAAAGTGTAACGAGTGACAACTTTATTTTGATGCGGCAGGACATTAACGAGATGTAGTAGATGGGCGACGGAAATGGAAGTCCGCCCGTGCGCTTATGCTACGAGGCACAAACTAACGACGGGAACGCGTTTTAATTTGTACATTAAAGTAATTAGTTTAATATTAGTTAGCTGCAGTTAGTTTTAATGAACAAGCGACAAAATAAAAGAGCGAAAATAATGCCCCTAGTCGTGCACTTACCGCTCTTAAAGATGGCCATCAGACGCTCCGAGTCGGCGCCGTGCTGGCATTGGAAAAGTGACGTCTCCAGCAGATCACCAGGCAGATAGCCGAGCAGGGCGTGCATTCTAAGGACCAAATTGAATAGAGTATTAGTAAGAGTAAATCATGGCTGATTCATATAAACTCGGCTCACTTGTCGTCCACATAGGTGAATTTCATGTCCAGACTGTGCTTGGTCAGAAATGTGCTGGTGCCCAGCGGTATTTCAATGTTCGAAGGATGCGGTATGGGCCGTCCAATGGCAATAAATACGCGCTCTCCCTTGTTATTGACGCGCAAATGACCCGTTATGTGAATAACCTGCAAAGCATATATGGAAAACATGTATTACAAATATTCTATTCTCATAGGAGAGAGTTCGATGTTTTGACCTTATAAGAGGCGCTCTTGATGTTGATGCTGCGCCCGCGACTGGTCAGAGTGCACTTCATGCGCACGAATAGATCACGATGATGCGTGCTAATGCCCGATTCAATTAGCTGCTCATCCTTGACCTTGTCAACAATGCCATTGCGTTTGAGATTAAGTGCCTCCTTAATCTCAGCATGATCGCACTGATGCGTATACTCCCAAATCTGTTGGCCGAGCGTATCGATCTGATGAGAAAGTAATTATAATTAATAAAACAATCAATTTTTCTATATGATTCGCTTTACCTTCGTTATGCCCAGGTAATCCATTATATTATCCGAAACATAGGTGACGTCACCCTCATTAGATAGCACCAGCAGAAACCCATCCATGGTTTGCTTCAACAGTTCACTGGCCTCGGCACACTTTAGCCAATCCTCTTCGAAAAACTCCACTTTCGGCTTGACCGCATCGCAATCGGGCACTATAAGATAGATGGATATATAGTATCTACATATATACATATGATAATGTGTTTATTCAAATGAGACTTACAAAACTTGAGCATCTGACGTATCTTGAGGCAGGCGATTGTAATGCGCATCACAGACGCCTTGTCCAGCTGATTCACATCTTCGGCCTTTAGGGGCAATGCCGACGACAGTTCCACAAATATTTCCGTCTCCTTGGAGCGACGAGAGCGTGCCGCATCCCGTGACTTTTCCTTGCGCTTTTCATTATTCCTGCAAAAATGAAAAATACAACGAAGAATGAAAAACTAATCTGAAGCGAATCACGTAGTCCACTCATGACGTCGTTACATGCAGTTCGCAAAAAATTTACATGGCACTCGGCAAGTGCTGGAGGCGCACAGCGAGGCGCGTCGCGGGGCGCCAACCAAAATGCGTATATTTCAATTGTTGCGATTTGCTGCGTTTTTATTTTTGATTCGATTCAATTGCCAGCGCGGCAAGCGCGGCCAGCACACATAATTTTTCAATTGAGCAAAACATTCACTAAAAATTTACTGCCAAGGCGAAGGCTGCAAAGTTCACGGCAGCAGCAGCGCCAGGCACTCGACCAACCGGAGCGAACAAACCCTATTAAAATTGGTATAAATCGACTTTAAATTGATTCGCAAATATTTCATATATAGTGCGAATATATTTTGGTTGCTTTATGTAAAAGCGAAATGCAAAATTCACGGGAGCCACGCAGAGAAATGGAGAATTTCATATACAGATTTTTAATTTATATTTTTAATTTATAACAAGATTGTTTTTTAAATCTTTAACTTTAAGATTCAATCGTAATACATGAGATTTTATTTGAATAATAATCTAAATAAATATCCAGATAAAGAATCTCGAGAACTAAAGTGAATAACAGCTATGCAAATGGGGTTCATTAAAAATATATTTTGAAAGATAAAGAATCTAGATAATGAATACAAATATTATTCGTTATGCATTATTATATTATTTAAATTATTTATATTATTATTAGATTATTATTATATTATGATTATTATATTATTATTATTATATTTTTATTATTATATTATTATTATTATATTATTATTATTTATATTATTTATGCAAGTAAAAGGAATTCATTTAATAAATATATTAATTATTTTTTTAATATAAACAATAACACATAAAGATAACAAACTTAAACCCAGTTTAGCTTCAATAGGGATAAAGTGCTTTATAATTACAGTTCTATTATGAAAACTATTTTCAGTACTTCTTTTCAGCAGGTCTTTCAAAGACACAAACGCTGCCCTTTTTCATTGACGTAGCCACAATATTATAAAGTATTATCAGCGACAACAGAGTAAAGCAATCACAATATGTATTTAAGAACCTTTCACTTTTAGCTCACACCCAACTCCGCCTCCCCTGCCCACACTTTGGGTCTGCATCGGCGGCGGTCAAGTGGGTGTACTTAGTGGCTTAAGATAGCCCGAGCCAGGCTGACAAAGGCATTAAGTAATTAGATAATAACGAGACAAAACCTTGGCACCATTTGAGTAAAATAATGTGCCCGCAGCAAAAAAAAAAAAAAAAAAAAAAAAAAAAAATTATAATTAAACTTTTTTATTACAGATCTTAAATACGCATTTTAAAGCTGCTCAACAATTGAAAGAGCTCATCAATAGAAAGTGTAGAAAGGGTATTAATCAGCCTTGAATAGTATTAAGTATAATGCAGATAAGAAAGTCTGCCCCCAAGCAAAACTAAACTAAACAAATAAATAGGTATGCCCAAAGCCTTATCAATTGGGCCACAAAAATACTAGACAGAGAATAATAGTGCACATGACAAATGGAACTTGTGAAGCATTCTATATATGCTATATATACATATATTTAATGTATGCCATAACAATTTCAGAGTGCACTGACCTCACACAAACAACAACGACAACAACGACAACAACCATTTCGATTATAGCCAATTTTCGACTAGCATATACTATATATTTCATATGGATTGCCAAGAAAAACTCGTGAGTTGTCACTAAAAACTAATACATTAAATTCATTTCTAGCTAATGATCATTATGATCATATGAAATAGGGTCAAGCCAAAAAGTCAAATAAAACCATTTTAATGATTATATAATATTTTTCGGCGGACATTACGGCACGTAGCTAAACGCGAAATATTCGCAGAAATTTTTGGAAGCTATTTATGAAATTCACAAAAAAAAAAACAACAGTTTGATAAAAGACACTTTGTCATAAAAAGTATAAAGGGAATTAATTAACAACTTGCCTCTGCTGAGCAAATACAAGAATTTGTATTTAGAGAAAACAAATTTGAAGAATGTTGACGGCTATAAAACTGACTAAATAATACTAGTTCAGATTTCCAAGAAATCCACTAAATGTTATATGTATTTACCATGCCTCAAAATCATTTAGCATATCACTCTAATCTTCGCAGTTGTTATTCCTTGGGTGCTCAAGAAATCAACTAAATATTGCCAAGAGATATAGCTTATAAGTCTTATAGATTTATCTGTTAAAAATCAGTAACAGTTTGATATGAGTTAGTTAAAGTTTTCTTTACAAGTCTTATGTATGTATAAATAAAATAAATTTTAAATTGATATATAGAAAAATATTCTATTCTATTCCTGAGACCCTAGCTCTTACAGATCTAACTCTCTTTTATCTTTAAAGCTATATAAAATCTCTAGTATTTTTTTTTCTGTAATATTGTGAAATATTTGTATTTAATAGTTTCTAGCTGCAAAATCACCATAGGCAATAAATATAATAAATAAATAAATATAAATATAAATATAATATTCTAATTAGCGTTTTACCATATGAATGAAAAAAGCGTATCCAACTAATTGTTTACACTACATTAGTTGAGGTATCTAATTTAAAGACTAAATGAGTCATAGTCGAGCCAACAACCTGCTGAATATTGCCTTATAGCAATATACATAACTAATTTTCACATCGTGAACGAGTGGAAAGCAAAAACGAAGCCGGCAAGCGGCTCTTGACAACAAGCATTACTTGTCACAGCTGCCACTTGCCACGCCCACAGTCCACAGCCCACTTTTATTTTTAGTTCTCGTCTAGAGCTTTAGATGTCAGCTAATGCCGTGCCATATCAGTTAGACAGACAGAAAGACCGAAACAAAAAATAAAAAATGAAAATTATTTTATCACATTACTCATACGACGTGTGGCCAAACCAAATGACAGTCTAAAACTGTTTGTAAGACTCTTCAGCTGTTTGTAATTCCATGTTCCGAAAATGCCGATTGGCAACAAATACATGACTTCCAAAGGAATTTGCGAAAATTATGTGAAATAATGTGTAGCCGGCAAGCAAGTGTGAGTGCTCCAAACATGACTCGATAAAAAATATTTTCGTTATTTTGTTCGCTGCTTTTTGCTTGCAGACAGCTAATAGATTCCCTGTACTTAATGTAATATTAATCAAATTTAATTAAATCAGACAAATACACATACTGAATGTGAACTTTGCTCTTATTCGACTTGACTTCATTTTCGTTTTTCTTCTATAACCAGCCTAGGCTTTTCTTTGAAGATAACATCCGCGGACTTTCTTATCAACAGCTTGCGCTTCCCGGTTCCATCATCAGCAGACTTTGCTTTCTATCTAGATCTCAAAGTTATTATCAATGTATAAAATGATTATAATAGCAGAGCAAAGAGGATTCTGTATTTATTTTTGAAAAGTCGACTGTTAATGGAATGGAAAGCTCTCAACATTTATATTAATCTACCTTGCTTTATTGTTGTTTTATTGTAGTTAACAAATTCATGACCTCGAACAAAATTTTATTGAATACAATACTAAAATAAGCAATCAAATACTTTATTGTATTATAATATAATATATATACTATAAATCACCAACTGAAGGCTGTCAATCAATGTGAGGATTGGAAGAGTATTTAAAATATGAAGTAATAAAAATTTCTATCTCAATTTGACGCTAATAAAAACCAATCAAATAATATAAAAAATATTAATCAGATCTGTATTTACATATATTAAATAGAGTATTATGAGAATGTATAATCGAATGTGTCAACTTATAATTAATTAATAATTGTTTTCAATCAATGCAAATATCATAAATCCATCTGTCTACGCCCGAGTATATTCAAAATTGTGCAATTAATTATTTCAATGCAACATTTCACTTCACGAATCATAATATATTGCATTTTTTTTCCAGAGCTCTGCAATAAATAAATGTTATAAAATATAAACAATTCGAAAATTCGAGTACATAAACAGCAAACAGTTTAAATGTATTGTTAACGCCCAGAACAGCCCCCTCGCCCCACAGCCAAGCGAACGACTTTGATTGTGCATGCTAATAGCCTGCTTAAGCGACTCGAGCGACTTGACGGGAGGCAGGGCACATGAGGGACGAATGCGGTTAGGGTATTTCATTAAAACAGCAGTGAATTGCTTTTAAATATTCACAAAGCGATTGCAGTTTGTTGCTGCCGTTTTGCTTTATTTTGTTTTGTTTTGTTTTTTTCGACTTTTTGCTTTTGTTGCTTTGAGCATTTCCGGCTGCGCTCAATGGCAGCAGAGTTAGGGCATGAACTGAGCACGTGCACTATTATATATAACATATAATAGAAGACCATGTAACGTTATCTCTATAATAGGAACTGTAAATATATGAGTTTATATTTATAGTTACTTTAGAAAACAACTTCATTTGCATATGACCATAAAACAGTTTCATCTTAAATAGTTGAAAGCTGTTAATAGAGCTAAGCATCTAAAAATAAACAAAGCCTTTTTGATAAATAATAGAATCGATTTTTTAATTGTATTTATTTAGCTGAATTTAATTTAAAATTGAAAATGAATGATACATAAATTCAAATAATTTTAATAAAATAAAAATATTTTAATCTGAGTTTTCTAGAAACATCTATCAAAAAGCAAAGACAACTAAAATTAATTTTAAATGAATTAAAACTGCGAATTTCAATATGTAAATAATATTATTAAAATGAGTCTAAGTTGTGTTTCAATATATATACATATATACATAAATACAATCAACAATTGAAACAACAAACAAATATCATAAATCGTATTTAAGCTCAGCTCTTAGCCAAAGTTTCTAAACAAAGTTCAGAGCCCAAATCTGAGTGCAGCAATAAATGTGTAGCTTGCGCTAAGTAATTGCAAATATATATACATATACACATATATACCTATATATACGTACATTAATGGAGCTTGGGTATATTGCAATTGATAAGCAAATAATATGGCTAAACGTGCGGCTCGTTTGCGGTTTGCCAAACGTAAACAAATTCTGCGCGAAACACGCGCAAATGAGAGAGGCTCAACTACAAACACACACACACGCACACTCATACGAACAGATCATGTGTGTGTGTGTGTGTGCCTGCTAGATATGAAAGACTCGCACGCCTCTGGCATGTGAAATGAGAATTGTGAGCAACTACGTCAATCGCAAAACAATTAATGATGCTTTCCTTTTCTTTTTTTGTTTAAAGAAAAAAAAAATATTTTGAAAAAGTTTATCTGAAATACATTGAAAACTATGAAAGTGAATGAGTGACGATTAAAATATATGTAAATATAATACAAACAGAAGTAACGACAACTAGAGATCAGAAAAAATTATCAAGAACTTATATATATTTTTAACGATAAATTTCCCCAAGCGCTTGGAAAAAAACGAAAGCAGAGTATAATGTAACAGATAAAAGGAGGCGTGGCCTGCAGAAAAATATCTAATAATTATCAAGACTTGGAAGACTTCGAGAGATGTCTTAGTCGAGCAATGTCAATTAGATTAACATAGAATCTATCAGAAAAAATTATTTAACTCTAGTACAGGGTATTTCCCAGTCGTGCGCTACATAATTAACATGCAATCATTGCAAAAGCCATCAATATATATATATTTATATATTGATTTATATGTTGGCAACTATCTAATTTGCTACCAAACAATTTGCAATATTTTTTATTACGGATTATAATTCTTATCGACGAGCGATAAGAAACAGAGCTTTGATTTCCATTTATTCCATATAGATAATTAACTAAAATTTTTGATATATATTTTATCATTTGCTAGAAGCCTCTTGAATTTCACAAATTAATATGTTTGCACATTTTCCAAGAAATCCGTAAATTCAATACAAACAAATCGATTAAACTGATTTGCATTGATAATGAATTGAAGAGATAATAAAAACTTTGGGAAATTAAATATAATCATATAATTAATAAGCATATATTTAAAGAATATACGATTAGAAACATATCTGTCTTTATCATTCAAACATTTTGGTAGTTTTTCAGAATAGATATATATGTATATGTATATAAGGTATTTCAAGATCTAAACATACTATGCGCCAAGTTTCTTTATTTTATTTTCTATAACCGTGGACAGAAAATAAACGGCACACTGCTCATATGTTCTTCCAAGATTTAAAGATAAGAATATATATTTTAAGTATCATTTATCAATTTCTTTGAGTGAAAATAAAAAGGCTATAAAAAAATAGTCTCAAAGTTATTTTCATTTGTCTTTGCTTTAAGTAAGTCAAACATGTCAAGTTGGGGGTGTGCGAGTATGGTATACCCTGGATTTATATGAAATATTAAACATATGTTCCATTATTTGACTACGGAAAAAGTTACTGATTATTAAAAACAAATATTGACTTGAGGAACATACAAAAGGGTTAACCTCTATTTCTCTTTGACTTTCTCATCTGTATGAACAGAACTAAGCTACGTTGCATCGGCTATTCATGCTCATCAAGAACATATATACATTATGGGGCATGTCACTCTTCTTTCTTCTACCACATACATTTTTATCTTTCCTCATTTTCAAGGAGCTTAGCGTATAAATACCCACGGCCAGTTGTACCTAATACAGGGTATACATATGTTTGTGCAGGCACATAAATATGCGCATGCATATGTCTTAATATGTATAAAATAATATAGTGAACGCGATAAGAAGTGCGCCCACTCAGCTTACTTAACTCTGCGTGTGTGTGTGTGTGTGTGTGTGTGTGTGTGTGATAAGCGACCAATGCTTAGCATTTCGCTGTGAAGTCCAGGCCCTAGCTGACAGTTAGATAGGCTTATATATAGAGATACATATATACTTGAAGAGCCAACAAATACAAGTGCATATAAATTTTTAAGTGCAGTTAATTCTTCACTTAGCATAGCATAAAAATTCTCAGACTTGTTGAGCTTAAAAAAAAACACATGTGTATATTTAGATTAAAGCCAACAGACTGGGAGTTACCCAATAAAGGGCTAAGCATCTTTTATGTCTCACTTCATATTTTATATGAAAAATTAGCCTTATAGCTGCGCTGCTCCACTGGCTCTACTTACATAAAATCCTCGATATCCACAAATTGCGAAAACTGGCATGGCTCCGGCTGACTCGGGCCATAGCCATAGCAGTGTTCATAGCCCCACGGCTGATTGCCGCGACAGGGCACAGGCAGGTTGAGCAACGGCAAGGCTGGCCGGGCATAGGGCATGCTCGACTGCTGGCCATAGCCCGGCGGATATGGGCCAAAATCGTTCGCCTGCCGCTGGTACGGATGAAAACGCGTCGCAGAGCAAGCTGAACTCATTTCCAGGCTCGAGCAGTCGTTGTACACGCCACCACCACATGCGGCATAGGCAACCATTGGCGGTGGTGGTGCTGCTGCCTGGGTGTTATAGAAGCCACCGTTATTGAAGTTTACGGCGGGCTCATTGATGAGCCTGCGGCCGTAAATCAAGCCGTTAGGCGAATTTTGTGGCTGCTCTTGCTGTGGCTTAATGTCTGGCTCGTAAAAACAATTGACATCGTCGCCATAAAAAGTATTTTCCGAGCAGGGAAAATCGCAGGTTTCCCACGAGTTGCACGAGTTAAACATTATTAGTTTCACACACTAAATATGGCCTAAGCCATGTCACACTAGAGCACAGAGATACCGATTGCAGCACGATTGAAAAGAATTTTTACCGAACTAAAAAGAACCGTTTGTAGCGCCCATTAAAAATGAACAGAAAATTCTAATAGCATGAAATTCATATTTATAGGAGTTGGCCGCGCAAATCGCAATATCAAAGCTGATAGCAAAGGCACCCACACAAACCCAGTGACATGTACGTATATGTGTTAAGTGTACACTGCAAGAAATAGCATAGAAAGTATGACTAATTAACAAGGCAAATAAGTTTGCACTTGAAGAAATTCTAAAAAAAAGTCAAGTATATTAAAATGTTTAAAATATATTTATGAATTTATTTAAGGAATTTTTTCAAGTGTTTTTCTCCCCTTATAAGATACAAAAATCCATTCAAATTTTATGAACTTATATTGTATTTCAGTCAACTCAACCCACTACACTTTTTCTTCAAGTGTATGTCCTGAAAATCCCACACAATAACACCGCCATTAGTAAGAGTGAAACGCTTTCGGTGAACTTCACAAAAGCTGAAACAAAAACGCATGACTAAATGCTAGACATTAACATCAGTTATCACTCGTTATCAGCACAACAGATACCTGGCAGACGGAGAGAGACACAGACAGTGAGCGAGTGAGATAGCGTTAGCTGTTTGATAAGATAATGGCCAAAACAACAAGATACACGCTGCCTGCTTACAGCCAGGCCAATTATGCATGTGTGAATTGACCAGAGATAAGGCCAAACTGGCTATAAACAAATCAAAAAAACACACACAAAGCAAAGAGTACAAAAAATAGTAAAACAAATTAAAAGTACTCACATATGAATTATATATTTTCGCGCTTAATTAACTTGGCTAAAAGCATTGCATACTCTACAGCGCTGTGAACATTTTGCTACTATATCTATCTCTATCTCTATCTATATCACTATCTCTATCTCTATCTCTATATCTATTCCTATCTCTTTCTCTTTCTCTATCTCTATCTCTATCTTTATCTCTATCTTTATCTTTATCTCTATCTCTATCTCTATCTCTCTATCTGTCTATATATCTCTCTTTCTACAGCTTTCTCCCCTCACTACCGCGCTCACTCTTTCACTCTCTCACTATCTCTTTCTCTCTGTCTTTCTATTTCATTATGATTATTCGCTGTGCTTATCTTTGAAGGACTCTGTTCTGACAAAATATTTGCATACGCAGCCAAACTGCAGCAAAGTTTTTGGATACCCGCTCATGACGTAAAAGGAGTATATAGGTTTTATGATATGCTGATATTGCTCTATTGCTCTTTCTAATCCTAATCTTTCCACATATCTTAAGTTTATATATATATCGAAGACTTTTAGGAATCGGTAAACTTTCTCATCGCATTTCATTCCTAGCTTTTCATCTAGACTCAAAAAGGAATTACTTTCGATCTCTCCAACAATTCAACCTATAAATTTTAAGACCATTCGAAAACTTAAGCGTGTATTATGCAGTCAGTCATTGTTCTTAATTGCTAGCCTAATAGATTAAATAAAGCTACGCGTTTAGAAATCAGACAAAAAAAAGGGCTGTTAACTATAGTTACGCCAAATCCGACTCATCGTTTATGTCAGCCACTGTTGCCCGGTCTGATAACATAATAAAACATAATATTGTCAAATATTTGCATTGTTTTTGGCTGAAAGTGATACGATATGATAAGAGCCGAACCGTAAAAAACGCACTCGGTAGCAATTAAATAACGGCAAATTGTACCTTTAGATGTGATCCGATTACTGACTGACGAGTGGTGAATAACCGCCAACACTGATAGAAGCGGGTACATTATATAATTAGCGAGCAGCTGGTCTATATCTACGTCTAGTCTATGCCGTACGTCTTATATTGGCAGATATTTAGGTCATAACGAATTGTACAAATTAATCGAGACCATAATAGGAATTACGAAAGACATCGTAAGTGGAGAAAAAAAGTCGGAAAGATTTAAAAAGATATATAAAATACAGAATGGTAATGGAAACATTCTTATAATACGGAATAGAAATACAGAAAGTGGAAAGGGGAATTAACAAATATGGAATATGAAGTATAGCAACTGGAATGCGAAGTATAAAAAATTGAATATTGAATATGGAATGATCTAAAATAGAATATGGAATATATATAGAAAATCGAATATGAATTATGGATAATGGAATATGATATAATGAAATAGAATACGGAATATAGAAAACAGAATATGGAATACACCAAATTATGGAATCGTAAAATCTGGATTAGTAATACCAAAAATGGAATTTAAATGATGTTAAAGTGGAATAGAATGTTTTGCATAATATATAAGAAGGAATTGGGTCTATTTGATATAAAATAGATATACCAGTAAGGACTATGGTAAATGGAAAATCAAATACAGAATTCCAAATATGGATTACGAATATTACGAATAGTAATATAGCAAAGGAATACGGAATATGACAATAGAGACCGAAAACCCTATTCTAAAAACTTTAGAAACTAACACAAGAAGCGAATTCTATTCAATTCAATTGTTGAATTCAATTTGTTGATCAATTTCTGGCAATTCTAACAATTTTGCTTGTTCATGAGGATTAAAAGTTGATAAAATGCTAGCATTTCTAAAAATTGATCAACTTTAAGTCCATATGAACAAGCACAATTTAAAAGTACTAGATATGGTAGATATATTTACTCTATTTACTCGCTTTACAAATGTATAAAAAAAATGCGTTAATAACTTAATTAACAACTTAATACAATTAATGATTTAATTGCCTTTCGCGTAGTTTCTCTGTATCACCAATAAAACAACTAGTTAAGCATTAAAATGCCTTTCGTGTCAATCAGTTAATATTAGCAATAAGATCGCCTCAGCTGAACCTTATATAAGTTGGCGATCTTTTGGCTTTTTTATCGAATGAGGTCACACATGGCTCGCTCAGCCAGATCGCATGTTATTAAATGCTATCAACAGGCGATGCATGTACGAGTATATAGGAATACATACAGAAACAACAACGACAACAACAACAACCATGACAACAACAACAATTTATATTTGCAAGCGAGCTACGCTTTTGCGCAACTCGAAAGAATTATGAGCATATTTCTTGTGTATTAAATGCGTGCGCCTGACAAGCCCAAAAGCTCAATAAATTTACTTTCCCTGCCACAATATCAAAATATAATAAGGGAACAACTTTATCACCAAAAAAAATGAAAAACAAAAAATTAATAAAAATTATTACAGATAGTAAAAATAAATTGGCAGCCCAAAAAGCAAATCAAAGAGCCGCAGCATATTCCGATACATCTGGCAGAGATACAGATAGAGCATGTAAGTCTGCTCGACTAGGAAATACCCACATAAATGAGATGCCTGACAGCTGTTTCAAATATGCTAACTCTTATTGATTTAGCAATTGAATATGACAACAAAATGAGCTCAGGAATAACATTATATCTAAATATTTTCTTGAAATTTCTCGCATGGGCATGGACAGCAAATTTTATCCCAAAAGTAAATATTTTTGTGTTCCATAGAAGCATCTATTTTTAGCTGCGAAGACTCTCATAATAACGAATAAATTACTCAAGTTAAATATAGATTTAAGCAAATTGTATTTTTTTTTAAATCGCAAATTTATGATTTTGTTTATGTTTTATTTGCAATCCGTCTTAATCTAACAGTAACCATTAATTAGCCGAATGCTTTGAGCTTTTTTAAATTTAAACTATTGTTATCTACCAACTATTTAACAGCATCAGAATGTGGAAATTTTTTAGTTTATTTTTTTATCGAATAATTTTAGTGCTATATTATAATTGCATTTTCAAGTTCAATGAGATCAATAAGTCGTACAATGCGCAGCATTTCCTTTTGCCCGTCGCATATGACTCAGCAATAATAATATACCCCGCTTGAATATTTCCAAGGGGTTCAGTGAGAAAGAAAAATCGCATGAAGCTGCTGCAGTTAGTGGCTGCTGCATAGCAACAGCGGTGTATTAGTTGTTTGTCTCAGACATGCCTTAAGACGGCGACAACGACAACAACGACAACAACAACAGCTGCAGTAGCAGCATCAACAACAACAACAACAACAGCTATATGTATTTCATATGAATAAAAAGAAAATACAACAAAAAAGACACACACACCATGCAAAACGACTACACAGATACGCATATACATACACGCACATGCACAACACAATCACACTTCCCCACACGCACACACACACACACACGCGCATACACACCCCGTTTGCCCGTTGCCCCCTGGCGTTAATGTCGTCACATTTTAGTTCGATTGCGCAAAAAAGTAGGTCGTCGTGGCCAGACAGAGGCTGCCGTGGCCAGCAACAACAACATACATATAAACAACAGCAACAACAACAACAACAGCAACAACAACAATAGCAATATCAGACCGAAAAACAACAATGAAGCATATCATTTAAATATTTAACATATTGTGCTCGCAAGCTTGTGTTAATTTTATGCGTTTGCCTTGCATTGCTATTGAAATACACAAAAGTTTCTATTTCTATACATATATTGTTTTCCACCATTTCGGTATCAGTAAAAAAGAAACAATATCAGAGGATAGCACAGGGCATATGAAGCGTGTGAGGAATATATATGGAAAGTGTATTTATTATAAGAAAAGCTAATATTTTTATTGAAAAAATATATACTCCGAATTCATTCAAAAGATTCATTCTAAATATTTAAAAAAGCTATTTTTAAACTTTTATATTTTGTTATTACTTTTGAAACATTTAAGCATAGTACATTAATTCCAATTTATGATTTATTTCATATTTAATAAAATTATATACATATAATATATATTTTATAGGCGCTCGACCTTTGCACAGCTTGACGTTAATTCAACTGAATTATGACAATTAAACCGAAATTCAATTAAACTCTTCAATTGATAAGCAATTATACTTTAATAATATAATTTTTAGTATATTATTCAGCTTTTTTGTTTAGTATTTATTTTAATTGTATGTAATTCCCATAATCTGTATAAAATAGATCCATGTCGACTAAGCAATTGTTTTTCATTTTTATACAATTTTAATCGAGGCTAAGATGTCTGGCAAAGTGAAGTAAATCAAATCGTGCAAACGGACAAGTGCACAGCAAGGTCGTGACTAGTGATGACAGCGTGAGCGGCATGATAATGAATACAAATCTATAAATATACTGTATACGAACTTATTCGGAATCTCTAGACAGCAAAGCAAACAGTAAATTTAAATACAAAATTTTCTATTATAATCATTCTATATAAACTTATTTGCAAACACTATCAAAATAACTAACAAACATTATTTGTTATGCATATCTGACTCTTCTCTCCGTTTGTCCATATTTTAAAGTGATTTGTCCTTATCTACTGATATTGATTTAATGTTTTAAAATAATATTTCCATAACACATGACTATCATTATCCCATTACGATAGTTTAACTACGAAATCCCGTCAAGAAAATATATTCTACAACATCTTAGCCCGAATTGCAGCCCATGCGCTGGCGCTGCGTCAGCTGCGCAGTTAGTAGAGCGCGTGCCTATGCGCGATGTTCACAAACAGTTTCTACAAATACCTCTGTATGTTCACGTGATCTTCTCTTCCAACTCCATTTATCGTCCATTCAGAGTTATCTAAATCAGCTACCGATTGATAACTGAACCGTAAACGAATTGAATACAAGCTTAATCAATGCCAGAAACTAGTTTAGCATGGAAAACGAGCCGCCTGTCGTTTAAGCATTTGGTTTGGTTTTCCACGCTGCTTCGAACTGTTACAGAACCGCTTTGCAGCTAACTGAAGTCACGTAGGCCAAAACGAAATATTTCAATTTAATGCAAATCTTGCATACTATAATATTATTTAAAATGAAATATAAAAAAAAAAATGCGATAAATTTTACATTTTATGTGCTTCGTACAATGTAAATGATTTAAGTAAATGCGTGGCCGTTACTTGAGGGGCAGGTCGCTAACACGCCTCAAGAAGATGCCGAAAGAGGGCAGACAAACAAAAATAAACTTCAAAATAAAAACAAAACAAAACAAAAAGTTAAAAAATCGAAGCGTAGATACTCAGTAAAAAAATACGGATTAACCCTACGCATTGGCAAAACTCAGACACTAGGGCTATTCTATCCAAGTTTCACATATCAAATGCAAGCTATGGAAAACAGTTTGTGAAATCGGAATAGCTGAAGTTTTGCTTTACGTGGAGCAGTTTAGTATAACTACAGTAAATCCAGAGTATTTACATGTTTTCCATGCGCCTACAATTGCAGGGTATCAAGACTGACAAGCGAAACATAACCAAAACAAACTGATAAAACAAAACTGACAACAACAAAACAATAACAAAACTGGTTACGCGTTTGCTTCGCTGCTGACAACAACAGGTTTTTCTTTCTTCTTCTCTGCCGCGGCTGCTGCTTTTGTTTAATTTTTAAAAATAAACCATACGCAAAAAGAATGCGTAGCCCCAGCTGAAAAGAGGAAATCCAAAGTGCAATCAGGCTGCAAAAAAAAACAACAACAAAATCTGTCTAAATATAGAATAAACAGAAATGGGCAGATCGCATCGCAACCAATCAAGGATAATTAAATAAACCTGATTTTATAAAGATAAGATTTCATTTGAAGGCTGGATGATTCGTTACTTGCAAAGCTCGCACAGTGTTTATCAATATTCGATGAAATTTTGATAGCCATGAATCAGAATATAATTTTACTGAAGGTTATTGCTACTACATATATCCGTATCGAACGCCAGAAACTAGTCGAAAGAAGAAGAATAAAACTTTAGCAAATCAATCTACAGTAAATGGACTAGTAAATATTATTTGGCCATTTTCGTTTTATTATTTTTATTTCTTTCGGGGTTTGCTTTTGGGTTTTAAGTGTTTCTTTGATTTGCATCTGGGTTTTATTTGTTGCGACATTCAAGGTAAGGTCTCGGTCAACGCGTTCTCTTTTACTGTCTACCTTCGTTCACGTTGTATAATTATCGCACATGCAAAAGTCAAGCGTGATTAATGATTACGAATTAGATTTCTTACATGTATAGGAAACGTAGCCACCACCCTCTTGTCAATCTTTTGCCTAAATATGAATGTGAATGCATATATACTGAATCATCAACACATGCTAAATATTCAAGTATTATATAAATACATATATTATGCTTGCATGTGTGAGTGATTATCACAGGTGGAGAGCATGATTTCGCAAAATGTGCAACAAGTTGATAGAAGTCTTATATTAGATATGCAGTAGAATGCTCTCTCAATTGAAAATACATACATGTTTAGATGTACACTATTCCAATGCTATACCTTGAACTTGCGAAAAAGAGATTTATGAATATATCTCATTTGAAAATGTCTGTATCACACAGTAAGAGGCTTGACACATCCCATAAAGTATTTATATTAGCGATCAGGACAACAAACTGAGTTGATATTGGCACAACTACAACTACAGTACCCTCGAGAGTTTATCATGCACCTACATATATTCCTGTTTACCAAACGTAGCAAATTATTACAAAATATTCCACATCTTTATATATATTTAGATATATTTTATAAATCAAATGCAATTCGACTTGAATTTCCTATATACATATATTGCACATAAGAATTCTTACGCTAAAGATCTGCGAAAAAACAACTCCCTTATCTCAAAGCTCTTATTTCACAAGTTTCATATATATTTCAAAGTAACAATTCGTTTTAGAGACTCTTCCGCAATCGATTGCAAATTGAATAAAACTTTAGTTATTTTGAAGGAGACTCATTAATTTTGTTTAGTAAAAGTATATTCAGCTAAACTGCATAGAAACATTTGGTGTGTACTTCCCCCATATGTACCAATAAATTTCGCACATTTTTGTGATTCATTCATACTCTTAGGTTCAGTAAGATCGTACAATAAAAATCAATTTCCAGCAGAAAACAAATAAAAGTAGCTATAGCTCAGCAAGGAATACAGGATATCTCTTAGTAGAGTACTCCCGAGTGCAAAGACAGGCTTACTAATATATGTATGTACCTATTTACACATAGTATCAATAATTAAAGAAAACGTGTGAATTATAAAGAGAAATGATCTTCATATACATATATTTTGTATATGTGCATTTGACATATCCGAAAAGCTTTCACTATAAATATTAAGTATACTTGCATATGTATGTATGTCTATGAAGATTATTTCGAGCCGGTACGATAATTCTAGAAGGTCTTATAATCTTATTGTTACAGCAATATGAGCCCTAAATAGATTCCATCAATCTAATGCTAAAAATTCAAATGGGGTGCACATTAGGGTGTGCAAATACAGTTGAATCCCTCAACCCTATTGAACATATCCGCAGCTAACGTCATAGAAGCAACAGCGTCGATAGCAACAACAGCGACGCTGACGCTGACGCTAACGACAACGCAGCAAACGGCAACAGCAGCAGCAGCAGCTGAAGAAAAAAGAAAGCAAATTGCTTATGCAATAGGCAACAGCCCATCAGACAGACAGATCACATGGCAGGAGCTTAGATTATTTATTTGGCTGTCTGTTAGTGGGGGGGTGAGAGAGCTGACAAAATTAGTCCAACTATTGGGGTGACCATAACTCACCTTCGTTTCTCCTTAGGCTTGCCGCTTGCGGTCAAGGCAATACCAGCTGCTGCTGCTGAAGCAACAACACCGCCAGCAGCAGCAGCGGCGGTCGGTGACTTGGCTCCAGCGTTGACTGCCGACGTTGCTGTAGCAGCGGCAGCGGCGCTCCGTTGCTTTTGAGCCTCCGCTGCCGCATCGATTGTATCAATTAACGAGACCATTTTCTACAAAATGTTGAAGCCTAAGCAGCATTCAAATATTCAAATTTATGGTTCGCTGTTAACTTCTTAGGGTTCTTTTTTTTCTCTTTTTTTTATTATTGCAAATCACTGATTTTGTTGTTATGTTTCCTGTTAATTGAAATTTTACAGTTGAGACTCTTCGTTATATTTTTTATATATTAAAAAACTATTGAAATGGAAGTACTTTGTATATTTTCGAATTCCTCTCCGCACGTCTTTCGTATGCACACCAATACGTAACTGCGTATATACGTATATTTTATTGTATGTGTGCGCTTGTGTGTGTGTCGCGTTTGTATTTGTGTCACTGTGCAGCACGAAACTTTTTAATGCACTGTAAATGACTTTAGCAAAATACACTTTTGTGAAATATGGGATTCTATAACTAATAGCTGATAATATGCAGATATAACTATTTATTTCGAAAGCAATATGCACAACACTCACTTCACTGGCGGCTGTTGGTTATTTGACTTTCTATTTTGTTACTGATTAGGTGCGCGCTCGAACTGCAAGACACAAGGTTATTTACTTGTTTTGATTTATTTTGTTGGCCTGTAGCTCAAGCAAATTGCACAGCAATCGTAATAGCTATTGCACTTTGAAATTTTGCACAGATTTGATATTAAATTCACGTTTTAACGTTTCACATCTGAGATTTATTAACACATTAAGCATTTTACCAATACGTCTAACAACATTTTCGTCACGGTTTTCATAAGTTTTCTTATTTTTCTTATGGTGGTCGGCCGACTACATGTGGCGGCGTGTCGATAACTATACCACAAAAATTACCAGAATTATCCATGTCGCATATGTTTTTGTTATCAATTTACGAAAATACCAGAAAAATACTTTGTGTTAACATATTTTACGCAATGTTAATAATTGTTACTGATAAATAAATACTCTATTTATAAAAAGCTGCTGCATTATTATACAAAAGTTAAAATTTAGGTACTTCCTTAAGATAAAATTTGTCTATAGGCAAAATAAACACAGATGTTTACTTTAAACTCGGCTCACATAGAAACCAAATCAGCTGTTATAGAGCAAAACAATATTTTAACAGCTGATAGAGTGTTATGTTATTTAACGGCAGCAATTCGAACAGTAAAATAAATAAAATGAAAAAATATATCTGTATAATTTATATGTTTAACTATTTTATTGATTTATTTTATTCCACTTTGGACACGGCATTTGTGGTTGTTGTGTGTGAATCAGATGCTGTCGCGGCTGCAGCAGCGCCAGCTCCTCCAGTTAGTTCATCGACATCTTTGATATTGGTGCTACTATCCGAACTCATAACATCACCAAGAGCATCGTCGTCATCATCTCCACCATTGGCCTTATTATAGACAGTGGGGTATTGCTGAAAGCAATCCTGCATCTTACGGAAGGCCTCATAGCAATCCGAACCTTTCGGTTCCGCTTCGCTATAATGAAAACATGAGAACGCTTCTCGAAAGTCAACGCCGCATGGTCCGGTAGCCATGCCACCCAGGCATGGGCAGCTCCAATTAATGTTGCCATCCTTTGTGATGAGACCCTGAGGCGGTTCTGGTGCTGGCAGCTCTACAGTACTGGGCGTTGAATGATCCTCTTTGGTGGCAAAGATCACCTTATCCTTGCCGAAGACTTTACAATACGAGAACGCCATGATTTTCTGTTGTCTCGCTACGTTTCTTCACCTTTATCTTCTCCAATAAAATACTTTTCGAAGTCCAACGGGGTCTTAGAAGTTTTCAAAACTTGAAAATGGCACGGTACTTCCTGGTAATGCCCAATCAATGTGATTACAGTATGGGTACGTTTATAGAACTCCTCTGGCACGCGGAAAACAACTCGTCGCTGTTCTACGCTGAATTTTACAATATCCAAACTAGTCTTGCCTCCAATTTCGCCAAAGAATTTCTCTAGTGAGTTCAAAACGCAGCCCCGAAAATAAATTGGCGTAAGCTCAACCTTATCAAAATCCCGAAATTTCCTAAAAAAAAAAAAAATAAATAAAAATAATAATGTTACGTTAAGTAACACTGTTGCAACCAACACATGCACGTGTGCTGTTAATTGTGACAATTCTCTTCGATTTGCCGCATTCAACTTACAGTCGCACATCGAAGTAATGATATCCAATCATACTTCTATTAAATATACCTTTAACAGAAGATCTGCCGCTACTGCTCCACTTTTAATTGATCCAAATGCTGTCGAATGAGTTATAAATGCCGTATTTTTTTTTTTTTTCTTTTCTTTCTATTTATGTAAGTGCTTTCATAAAGACTGCTTGTTTCTATCTCAACGTTCCCTGCTTCTTCCTTTTCAACACTCTTGATGTCGTTTACAAGCCAACAGCTGATGATGAATGCGTCGTTTTTTGTGAATGGCAAAAAATGTTTATAACATTTCACAACTAAGCGCGCGTATTTTTTATGAATCTGGCAGCAAACATTATACAATTTTGAAAGTCATTTATTGAAACAAAAGACAAATTGATATACTGTTTATTTGTAAGAAAAACTAATAGAAATGGAACAAATGCAACGCCCGGCACAGAAACAGGCAGACCTAGCGTCAGCCACCACAGCCGATGTTTCGGATGAAGAGGAGGATGATGGAGGACCACTGGACGTGCTTAAGCTACAGGTAAGCGAGTAGATTGTTGAATATTGTCACCATTTATATACATATATTCGAATCTAATTTTGCAGGGCAACAATATCAATCCCAGAGACATTAAGCTACTACAGCAGGCCAGTTTACATACAGTGGAATCAGTGACATATGCGACGCGTCGTCAGCTGCTAAATATCAAAGGTCTGGGCGAATCCAAGGTGGATCACATTATGAAGGAGGCGTCAAAGCTGATACCTTTAAGCTTTACCAGCGCACGCACCATTCATCAAATGCGCTCCGAAGTTGTGATGCTCACAACGGGCTCCAAAGAGCTGGATAAACTGCTTGGCGGCGGCATTGAGACGGGTTCGATTACGGAAATCTTTGGTGAATTTCGCTGTGGCAAGACCCAGATTTGTCATACGCTGGCCGTAACTTGTCAGCTGCCCATCAGCCAGAACGGGGGTGAAGGCAAAGCCTTGTACATTGATACCGAAGGCACATTTCGGCCGGAACGCCTGTCGGCAATTGCACAGCGATACAATATGGACGAGGCAGCGGTCTTGGATAATGTGGCCTGTGCACGGGCTCACAATACGGATCAGCAGACGCAACTGGTTCAAATGGCAGCGGGCATGATGTTTGAATCAAGGTGAAATAAAGATTATTAAGATTATAAAGATTATTATATATATTGGTATTTCTCTTTTAGGTACGCCCTAATCATCGTGGACAGTGCCATGGCGCTATATCGCTCCGAGTATATTGGACGCGGAGAATTGGCTGCACGTCAAAATCATTTGGGTCTATTTTTGCGCATGTTGCAGCGCCTGGCCGATGAATTTGGCGTTGCGGTCGTCATAACGAATCAAGTGACAGCCCAGGTGGATGGCGGTGCATCAATGTTTGTGGCCGATGCAAAGAAACCCATTGGCGGTCATATCATGGCGCATGCGTCGACAACGCGTCTATATCTGCGCAAGGGCAAGGGCGATGCGCGCATCTGCAAGATCTACGATTCGCCCTGTTTGCCCGAATCGGAGGCCATGTTTGCTATATTACCAGAGGGAATCGGCGATGTCAAGGAGAAGGATTGATAGTGCTTGATAAATGATTTTTTTGGTATGAATATATGAAGTAGAAGCTAAGCTATGTTCTTAGTAAATGACGATCAGTTTGGTTAAATGTAAGAGCTTTGATCCAGTTAACATTTTTTGTGAAGAATACGTGTTTAATAAATATGGTTAATATTATTTATATATAATATAAAAATTTATCTATTAACAGTTTCTGTTTACATGAACAGTCATTAACAGAAATTTAAGCGACTGCTAAATAACAATTTCCTGCGTTTCAGCGCTATGTAAACTATAATACAAATCCAATTGCTAACGAATGGACAGCGATTCGGCTAGGCGGAATGCTGACCCTTTAGCATTGAAACCGGAAACAGATAATAGCATAGATTATGATTTTACTAGTACCATCGAACCAGAAATTATTATTGAAACCAGAGAAGCAGTTTAGTCGTAGCAGAGCTCAAGCTAAAGATGAGGCTAACCCATTCTTTCCTATCATACCCGAAATGGAGCAACGCATAAAGCGCATGAAGCAACGCATGTTGGCCCCATTAAAGCTGTCCGAGTAGCATCTGAGCCAGAAATGTGCCAGGCGTGTGGCTTAAACCAAGCAGAATCAACCAAAGGCTGCGAGCGCTGAGGCTGAATACCGAAGCAAAAAAACCGGCAAGAAGTTTAACAGAGCTATGATATAGCGCACATTGGAAACGCCCGAGCGTGAAGAAGGTCGTCGATGTCAGATGAAACGTTGATCAAACGACACCACGGAGCAAATCAAAGCAGCGTGAATATCAGCGCATCGATGGCAGGAACCGTAAAGCAATGAGCTTTACTTAAATGTATATACATCTAATGTGAAATAATATTACTAAATGTACTAGCTTTAATTTCGAAAATATTTTATTTGATGTACATTTTACTGGATAAGCCTAAATTGGGACTGTTTAAGAAATTGAACTTACATTTATTTGGGAAAACGTTAGGGCTGAAGTGCGGCCGGCGAATGCTTAAACTATTCTCTATATAAATCTAGTACGTTTGATAGCCATCAATTTATATTCCATATCCATATTTTATATTCCTTAGTTATAGATTTAATCGCAGTTTGATGCATATGAGGATATGTGTACCCCACAAACTGTATCTTCTGATAGATAACATGTATTATTATTACTCTGATAATGCTTTTATATCTTTCAACAAACGTTCAATCAATTAGAAAATTTTGTGTACAATTTTAGTCATATATACATAATTTATATCTGCTCAATCTCTTTTTCCGTTGTCAATTAATCAATCAAGAAAAAAATTATTTTTATAAACTCACTATTATCTAGTTAATCATTTGTATTGATTGCTCGAATATATACTTCTCTGCTCAATCTCTGCTTCCGTTTCAGCGCATCCTTCGTGAATCCATCAAACACTTCGGGCTTCAGACAAGACACAGCATATAGATATCGTCAAGTGTTTATTTATTTATGCACATATTTTCATAATTATGTATTCAAACATAATAATCTATGTATTGAAAGTGTCTGTGCGTGTGTGTATTATGTGCATGCGTGCGTATGTTTATGTGTGTTTGATAAATTTGTTTACGGATTGCTGATGCAGCTCTCTCAAACGTGATCTAATTCATACTGTTATAGATAGCGCCCGATGATGTAATTATAATAATAAAAAAAAAATAAAAAAAACCAATTGCAACCAGTTTAATTGATTCGATTATCAATTTCAATGGCTCTAATGACGATTTGTAGTAGTAATCGGTGCCTCACATTCAGCTGTACGCCGAATTGAATTGAATTTTTGTTAAACCTAAAGTTAACTGAAAATCAAATGCGTGGAAAATATTGAAATTAATAATTTCAGAGAGTTCCATTATTGTAATGTACCTTAAGTAGTTGTTAGCTGGAATCTGGTGATGCTCTCAGTTTTCAACCAAATCCGTGGAAGCGGCCTCCTCCTGCTCCTTGCTCTTGACCAAATTCTGGTAGCTACTCTCGCTCATCGAGACGCGCAGATTATCATTGATGTTTTTCGTATAGTTCTTGTAGATCTTAACTTTTTCGCAAAAGTCTACCCAGAAGTTCTCCTCAGGCTCGCTATCAGGATTGAAGACCGCCTTAAAGCCATCGTATATGCCCGTCGAGACTTTACGTATGATTTGCGCCTTCTCTTTGAACTCCAGCTCATCCGATATATCCATTTTCCATAGTTCCAAGTTACCCACATAGCGACGTAGCCGCCGCATTATGTCTACACATTCCGGATTTCGCAACAGCATCAATTTATTCAATTCAATATCTTTCAACTGCTCCAAGATCTCCAGACAACGGCCCACATTGGCGCGCCGCAGTCCCAGGCATTCGCGCAGCTGCTGCGACAATTGTATAAAATCCCGTTCCATAAACAACGCATCTTCCTGCTCGATGAGCTCCTCGATGAAACGCACTGCCTCCTGTTTGGGTATTTCATTGCGTACAGGCTCAATGATAATACGTTCCGGCATTGATTCCGCATCCACTTGTCCCGACTCCAATTTCAATTTCAACTCAATCGCCTCCTTGCGTGACTTCTCCAACCAGGCCTGTTCCGCAGCCGGACTCTCAAAGCTGGCGGGCTTATTGTAGTTCATATTGATGCCCAAACATTTCGCCGTAGGCATATACACCATAAGCAGATTATTCTGTATGACCTGCAAGAGCCGAAAATCAATTAGATATATATATTTATGCGATTTATCTGTATACGATTTTTACTCACATTTGAGTGCCGCGCACGCTTCTGCATGGGCGTCACCGCCGCCATGGGCTTCGATTTCTTTACGGACTTTTTGCCGGAGATGCCTTCTGGTGGAGCACGTCTCTTTGTCGGCGGTGGCGTCTCCAGTGTATCAGTGCTACCATCCTCTGTATCGCCATCCACGTGCTTTGGGGCCGCCTTCGACTTGCGACCAGTAGTCGCGCCTCCTGCCGCTCCACGGGCTTTGGGCTGCGCTGGGTGCGTTGCCTCGGTGCTATCCGTAACTATCACGGAATCCACTGATGTAGCGTTAGTGCTGGTAGCAGATTCGGTTGTTACATCTAGCCCTGATTCCATGGTGCTGTCATTGCCATCATCGTTGCTACTGCTTGGCAAATCGATTGGCGCCGAATCCTCGCCTCGCAATGCGCTCTCAATTTGATCGATGGCATCGCTAAATTTTGCACGTTTCATATTTTTGGGATTAGCGAACTTCTCCTTATTATCCACATATGTGAATAGATCTTCAACTTTTATATTAGCGGTCTCTCCGGTACCATAAAAGTAAACATTATACTTTTTGTTTTGGTACTTTGTTATTTTTGCTGGCCATGCTGGATAGCCCTTCACTTTTGCGAACACCAAATCACCGATGTTAAACGTTTTGCTCGCTTTCTCCTTACCCATTCTAGTTATTAAGTAAAGATTCTGATCAAATATAATTTGTACAAATTAATAGTTTTGTTTGCGGCCTCTTGGCGTCTGCTGCTATTTCTCTCATTCACAAGAAACTCGCGCTTTGGTCTTCTTCTTATCGAGCAATATTTTCTATCTCGTTCACAATTTCTTGTGGCTGTACACGAACATTGAACAGCTGTTTTGCTTGCGTTAACAGCGACGTTAAGGCAATCAATCAATTTAACATTTACTCAACTGTTATTAACAGTAGGCGCTAAACAATTTTTAGGAAGTGGACATTTGATTTTTAAATTTTTTTAATGTTCAATTAAACTGAATAAATTGTAAAATGTTTTTAAACAGTGATAAAATGTTTGATGGTTAAAACATGACAAAAGTTGAATTTAACCGTTAAAATTGAAGCTTGCAATATACAAATATTTTGTCTGCATATCCTAAATACTAAAAATTAATAATCAAGTTTTAAAAAGTTACTCTTGAGTGCATAGAAATATTAAGTGTTTTTATTTTTAATAATTTAAGAGTTATGCCATCAAATGCTTGCAATTTATATAATGAAAAAAAAAAAAATGTAAATTGAATTGAAACGTGGTGTGCAGTAGAGGAATGTATATTTATATATTATATATATCTACAGGTAGAAATTCGTGTGCACTTAAATACACCTTACGCACCGACAAATTCACCACGACAACAACTGAAAATATTTCGAATTGTGTGTTTCGTGTTTAGCGCCCAATGAGTCAGTCGACTTTTGTTCGTCGTCAAAGAAAATACAGCTGAAGCGAGCGCTATAAAAAAAATCATATAAACTTGCACACACATATGTAATATATAGATATATTTATAAAAAAGAAATTGTGTTTACGCTGCTACAAAAACAAATTCACAAGATACGAAATAGTTTCAATTTTGTATACGTTCGTTCTGGAATTTGTGGAATTTTTATATCTTGGGGCGTCCGATCGGGCAACGGACTCGTAAACATGCAAGAGTTAATTACGGTTCCCCATTTGACGGGAAGCCTGCCAGCAGATACTCAAAAGAAATTGCGAAGCATTGTGGACGACATTAACAGCATATCGAAATCGGTATTCAATGATAATGACAATGATAAGGACAAGGAGTGCCAAAGGTGAGTCATGCAAACATTACCTGCACTGCACTCAATTTAAGGAAAAAATGCAAATTCGATGCGAATCGAGTCAAGGTCGCGCTTATGTCATGGCAACACGAAGCTCTCAGTTTTTAACTGCGATAATTGGGCTTGACATAGGTGCACATATGTATTATATATATATTTATATATGTACATATACATGGTTATACTAGGCACTGGGCTTGGGCATGCGTGACTAAATACCATTTATGGCTTTTTGCTATAAATTATTGGACACAAGTTTGGGCAGCATTTTAAAGCAGTCAAATATTTGTAGTTTTTATATTTTGTAGAATATTTTTTAAGAAATTTTAAAAATGTACCAATTGTTTTTAATTATTGTTATTAATTTCAATATGTTTATATTTATGCAACAATGCAAAGGCATACCAACGGCAATAAAAAGACAATGAAAGTTAATATTAATTAATTAAAAAAAAAAAAATTTTTTTTATTGTTTTTATTGCTTACTTGCAGAACTCTAGATATATTTTAAACATATACAAATTTACATAAAAAGTTTAATCATATAGCATGAAAATATGAGCAACTAAAAGGAAACACCTTCAACTGCATTAATGGTCTAATATGTGTGTGCGTGTGTAATGAAGCATATGGTCAGATTTTCCGCTGCATTCAAATTGTGCCAAATTTTTATTTCTACACTTTGTGCCAAATTCCATGCCAAATACCTTTACAGATGTGCCCTACCTATACGAAATGCATTTCATGAATATATATTTCAATATAGGAAGCCAATAAAAAGAACGCTATATATATAGCTGTAGACAGATGCAAAAAGAGACAAGGTAAAAAAGTGAATTCTAAAAGTTCAAATTTACAAGTCACATAAACAGTAAAGATCAAATCAATTTTTATATTTTCAACTTCTATTTTATATGGAAGCCAAAGATTTTTGAAATCAAACCACATAAGCTGTTAGCGTTGTCAGACTGTGGATATAACAGTCCTACAAACTGTTAAAATGTTTAATTGCATTTCAACTGCCACTATAAACTCTAACAGAGTTCAAACTTAACTTCAAATGCTGTTAAATGAGCCCTCAAACCTGTAAATGCGTTCTTCATTAAATATATTTCAAAATGTTTGACAAATTTTTTATAAAAAATATTTTTGTGCACACGTTCATTATTGACAGCCCTGACTCTGACAATCGAATTCAAGGACAAAATAATTGCTTAAA